TGCATGTATAGCACATCTGACAATAAAGTTGACTTGACTCTTGACTTGACTTGACTTGACAAACCACAACATCTGTGCACTATTCGTTTGCATTATAGTAATCAGATATTGTGTTTATTTATAAAAGCCTTGATGCTTCATTTTTGTTTCTAATAATCAGTTTTTAGTCTGCATTAAATTCCACTGCAACCTTGTGGCTCTTGTAAAACCCATCTGCTGAAAACTAAAAACAATACAAATTGCTTGACCTCGGTACATCCAGCCTCAGTCTGTGCACAACTTTCATGTTGAATCCTTCCAGTGTGAATGAGAGAAAGGTGAAACCACAGTGCCTGAAAGCGCTCTCTCCTTCCTCCCTACAACTGTTAGTATAATGGCTCTCATCTCCATTAGCCTCTAAAGCATCTTCCAGGAAAGATCCTAAAGTGGAAGTGACCCGTCGTCTTCGTACAGTAACCGACCAATCCGGTGGACTCCTGTCCAGTAACAAAGAAGCAACCTAATGGATTTTCCCGCCATGCAATACAGCAGCAGTGTTTTTATCTTGTGACTGCTGACTACCTGAGGCTGCATTACCGAAGTAAAATGTACAGATGGCTTAATGATGCAGATGCAATATGAACAATAAAGCTAATGGCATGATTGCATGTTTGTCTGAACCATGGTGTGTGTGAGATGTCTGTATTGTACATGGACAGTACAGACAGTCTTTTGAGTTTGATCAAGAAACTAAGGATTATGTGTGTGTGTGTGTGTGTGTGTGTGTGTGTGTGTTGCAGCGTTTCAGCATGGAGGGGCTGTCTAACATCCTGCAGACGGGCATCAGACAGACATTTGGAAGCACAGGGAATGATAAACAGGTAAGGTCAAAGGTCAAATGTTTTTTAAAAAGTGTGACATATGTGCTAAGTTTGCTGCTCAAATGCAACCATAACTGGCACTGTTGAATAGCCACTAGACATTGGACAGCAGTATTTCAAAGCAATCACTCCATATGATTAAGTAAATGAAAAAACAATGTCCACAAATTGAATTGAATAACACATAGCTGAACTGTACATATCATATAGCTATATATACTAGTGACAACACTTTCCCCCTGGGATTATTAAACTATTTCTGATTCTGATTCTGATTTAGACATGGAATTGCAACCCTGTTACTGAACATACATGCTGTGGTATACTAATTGATTGTTGTGTGGTACAGTCATGGCATAACTTATTTAATGAGCCTCAGTCCAATGCACAGTTGAGGTCATACGCATTGCATACTGCCTACTGTCTGTAATTTGATCTCTGTTTATAGTGTAAGCAATGTTCTATGGTACTCTGCTAGAAACGCCCCTCCTTTTTGTCCATATACATTACAGGCACATGTATAAATAAAATGTTCGACTTACAAATAAATTTGTGTTTCTCAACTGACCATGGTTGAAAAAAAGGATCTGTTTTGACCGAGAGTACATTGACTTTTAAAGAAATTGTTTAACATTTGGGGAAATACACTTGTTAGCTTTATTGTCAAGTGTTGGCTTTAAGTTCTGTGTCAACACAAGTGAAAGAAAATAAATGATTCGCTAGGGCTTAAAAACATCTGATCGTTCGATGTTAGTTTGACTGTCGAACCCTCTGAACCTTGTCTCTGTTTTCAGTATCTAAACACAGTTATTCCATATGAGAAGAAAGCCACCCCTCCATCTGTGGAAGATCTGCAGATGCTCACAAAAAGTACGTATCCATTTTCAAACAAACAATAAGTACCTGCTGGGAAAATGTATACCCAGAGCTGATACACTGTTTCTTTCTTCCCCCTAGTTCTTTATGCCATGAAGGAAGACAGTGAGAAGGTGCCTTCACTGCTAACTGACTACATATTGAAAGGTAAACACAGCAACACAAGTTTGACTACTTCTGCACAGTGATTGGTGAGGAAAAAGTCTGCTTTATTGAAGCTTCCCTTTTCCTCTATTGATTTATATAACTTACCGCACAGTACAGGATAAGACAGGATAATTAAACACAATCACAACAGTAAAGTCTGTTGTCTAGTAAATTCAGTTTTTGCCAAGTTGAACTTACTCCTTTATCTACTCTAAAATAACTTTAGAACTTCCCATCTATCCCAACTATCCCATGGAGACTTAAAGGTGACACTTACAAACTATACTTGCCACTAGATGTCGCACTAGAGCACCATCATTTCAGACCAAAGTAATTGGACAGAAACAAAATAAAACTCACCAAAACTGTCTTTGTTAGTATTTCCAACAGTGACCAACTCTGTTTTCGTCAAAGTAAACCATTAATTCACAGAGTATATTAGTGAAAAGTGCTGCAATGTAAGCTAAAGTTAATTACAGGCTCAGATTGTTATTCTAAATGTCTGACAACAATATGGAAAGGATCCCTTCCGAGATAGACCTTTTGTTAAACCTCTAACAGCCTCCATAGACAAAAACGCAAATTTTACCTACCAACAGCTTTGATAGAAATAAATCCTTAATGTAGATGATAAAAACAGTTTCAGTCGCTCTACTAGCTGTACACGGAGCAGACCAGCTATGGAAACAAACCACA